GCCAGTGGTAATAAGGAGGTAAAGGAGAATTGAGCTTCAAGAAATAGAGAGAAGGACAAATCAGCAGGACTTAAGGATTACTTGGATTTGGATAGTGAGAGAGGAAAGCCAAGAAGAGCCCCAGATTCCTAGTATGGGTGACTAGGTGAGATCAGGAACAGGAGGCGGTATTAGTTTGGGGTTAGGGTGAGGAATTCCATTTTGGACACGGCCATTTGGAGTGTCCAAGCGACATCTGAACATATAGTCCTGGGACTCAGGAAGGGTAGACCCCTAGGGAGGGTCACCAGGAAGGGATGGGTGGCCTTGGCCTTTGTGCCAGTTTGCACTGCACAGGGGAACATAAGAAACTCAAATCCATACAGAAGTACTCCTCCCCCCCCCCAAACAGAAACCTGGGGGAATGAGAAGAATTTGAGACAAATGAAGATAATACTAATTACCACTTATGGCAGCATAACCTGCACTAAAAACAAGCACACTTAACCTGCCCAATTAGTAGCTACTTCTTATTGTCCCAACTTTACAGGTAAGGGAAATGGGTCTTAAAGAGGCAAAGGGGTTTAATGAAAAGCCAGAGAGAAAAAGGCATTGCTGGGGTCACACCGTCAGTTAGTAGTAACAGTCCATGCTTTCTCCACCACACCAAGGAAGCCTGCCAGCCTTCTGGGTCTGCATGTCCACAGGGGGCCCTCTAGGGACTCTGGCCTGAAAAACGCGATTAAAAGGGGTTGATCGGTGGTTTTCCGTATAGAGAACCTTATGTTCCCAGGCACGTTGCTCCCTCTGAACCAGCGCGGTTATTTCAGCACCATGGTCAGTGGCGCACAGCAGTCTGTCTGGAGCCGGTGCTGGCCGGGTTAGCCGGGAAGGCACCCTCTCCGCGGACTTGGCCCCTCGCGTCGCAGAAGCAGAAGAGACAGACAGGAGCCTGGCACTTCTCCAGGGGTCGGGGTTGGAGGTGGGGTTCAGCCAAAGAGCAAGGGAGCCCAAGGACAAGCACAAACTACGATTGCCTTGGTTCAGAGAGCTCTAAGCTGCTAGCTCAGAGCCAGGCTCACAGTCCCAGCTTTGCTTCAGTGACTCACCGGGTGATTGAAGGCCTTGGGAAAGTCACCTACTTCCGAGACGGTGGGTCTCTGTTTCCCTGCGTGTGGCCACCTGCCTTGCCCCGAGAGGGTGCCTGAGATACGAAGTGTCCAGCCTCAAGCCTCCCACTGCCTGCTCTTGGCCCCTTGAAGGCATAGCTGACAGGTAAAGTTAGCGACTGTCCGCTGCTTTTATTGAGCACTGTCTGCAGATATGTTTAAAAGGGGGTGGTGGTGGGGGGGACACAGCAGAGAATATGAATTACATGAATGTGAAAATGTAGTTATAATATACCTGTGCCACATTCTCAGCTGCACGTCCCCACACCCTCACCGTCCACTCCCCAGTACCAGGTTCTGAAGGGTCTTTTCCGTGCCTCCAGGTCTGGGGGACTGTAACTCAGAACCCAGCCAGCACGGCCTTCTCTTAGGTGCCCAGAAATCCAGGGAAAAGGTATTAGGGAACTTCTCAAGTGAATTAGCTGAGACTCAAAGACTTGTCCAAGGTCACAAAGCCGGGCAGAGTGGCCCGTAGGGGAGAGGAGGGGCCTGTGGGGTCGCGTGCGCCTGGGGCCCCGCCTGCCTTTGTGCCAGCCCCGCGGCCTGGCTCCCAGACATTAGCATTCCAATGGCCCCCGGTCGCTTTGTCCTCCTGCGGAGGCCGGTTTGGGGGTGGGGTGGGATGGGGGCAGGGCGCCATAAATCTACCTGCTGTGTGTGAGGACGGGGAGGCCGTGTGGTTGTGGGTGGGATGGGGGATGGCGCAAGATTCATTGCTGTTGTTCTGGAAGCCAGGCTTGGGCTCAGACAAAGGCAGAAGAGGGGAGAGCATGTTCCAGCCCAGCGTCTGTCCTGCCCCCGCTTGAGACCCTGTCCGAGTTCCAGGGAGCTGGGGCGCAGGCGACCACCTCAGATCGCAGGGGGCTCCGCAGCCGTACCAGTGCGGGCACAGCAGAGGCGCAAGAAGCCTGGTTTTAAAAGCCTAAAGGACGAATGCCCCGGAGTGGGCAGCACGGTTGTGATGCTGGGCTGTTTCTGTGAGCGACTCTCAGAAAGGTTTCTGAGCCCCGAGAGAGGAAGGGCTCTTAGCTTAGGGAGCCTCTGGAGGAAGTTCACTACCTCCAGCGATTGATAGCGCTCTCCTGGGCAGAGAGCCCTAAACTCTGCAGCGATTCAACCAAGCCCCAAACCTTCCTCCGCCTCCTGCTGACTCTGAGAGTAGAGCTGACAGTTCCAGGAGCAAATCTGCCGCCCACCCAAGGTGGCAGCCCAGTGGGGGAGTTGGTTAAACTCTAATTTTTATTTTTTAAAATATGTTTTTATTGATTTCTAGAGAGAGAAGAAGGGAGAGGGATAGAGATAGAAACACCAATGAGAGAGAAACATCATTGGTCACCTGCCCTCTGCACGCCCCCTACTGGGGATTGAGCCCACAACATGGGCATGCACCCTGACTGGAAGGGAACTGGTAACCTCTTGGTTAATGGGTCCACGCTCAACCACTGAGCCACACCGCCTAAACTGGGCTAAACCGCAATTTTTAAAATACTCATTGGTGGGAGGACCAGTCTGAGTGCAGTGGGTGACGAACAGCTCCTGAATGAGCGCCCTCAAAAAGAGGGGAGGATCGGGCAGTGGGTGCCTCCAGCCGGAGCACAGCGCCAACAGACACTCTTCCAGCTTTGGGGGTCGTTTGCCTATTTGAGCCCCACTTCCCACAACCCTTCAGTGGTCTTCCTGCTTGAGGACGTCCTCTCCTAACCCTTAGCCCTGGCCCAAATGTCACCTTCCCGGGCCAACCTCCCAGCCCAGCCCAGGTGACAGTCCCGCCGTGCCTCGCACCTCCCCCAGTAGCAATATTTGGGGCCTTGAATTCTTTTGTCAACATACTTGCTACTGTCCCAGGAGGACAGAGATAGACCTTCCTGTTTTTTAGGTCTGTCCACACCCCTCCCCCAAATGCCCAGCCAGTAGCAGGCACTGGCTTGGGTCCGTGCAACTGGAGCTGCAGACACCTGCTCCCCTCCCCCTTGGTGCCCCAGGTGGAAAGTTGGCAGATGTAGAGGTCACCAATAACCCATTAATCTCCTCCCAGATTAAAGCCATGAAACAAAACACCTTCGTTTATTAGTTTGTTTGCCAGGTCCCCTTTTGCGCCCTCAAATCCAATCCCAGTCACGGAGGCATATCTCCTCTGAGCTGCCTTTAGGGGCCTAAGCCTAGAGGAGAGAGGAAAAGCTCAGTGTGAAATGGGGATGGCAGAGGAGAAGCAGACGCAAGAGGCATTAACTCCTGCAAAGCCACCACCTTTGCGCTCTAACGGGATGGAAAGCAACCCACCAGATCCTGGCCTCGGACCTCCCTTTGCCGGCCCCGAGGCTGGCCCGTTCCTTCCCCAGGCGCCCAGGGCCAACCCAAAGGCGGTCTCTGGGTTCTACGCGCAGGGTGGGGTGCCAGCCCTCCATCTTCCTGTTCTTGTGCGCCAGGCATATTCCTCGAATTCTTAGAGCTCTTATCCGCTTCCCGGAGATCTTGGGGGCCCGGGAAGCCAGGTGGTGGGGTTCCAGTAGCACTTCGGGGGCAAGTTTCAGTCACCACCGTGCACCAATCCTACTCTACCTTGGGGGGACTCAAGTACAGTGGCTGGAAACCTTGAACCATTTCTTGATAAGTTTGCAGTCAAGGCTGCTAGGAGTCCGGGGTGCCAGAAAGTCCGGCTGGACCTCCCACCTCCCCTACTCCCCGCTGCTCAGACCCACGAGTCCCCGAACCACCCCAGTGAGTGGCGTATAAAATGGCCCAGAAGATGCGCTAGAACTCTAAGCAGATTGGGAAAATTCCTGGGATGCCAGGCCTGCCGGTCGCGTTTCTGAGAGCTCTGATTCTGTGGACTGTTTATTATTCCCTCTTTCCCCAGAGGTAACTGCATTCAGGCTAGCAGCGTAGAGGAAAGGGCCAGCAAGCGCCAGTGAGGAGCCCGCTTGGAGGCTTGTCTGAAGTCTCCTCCCGCCCTTTGGACAGAGGCACCCCCACCCCCACCGCAGAGGCGGCAGCTTTCCCCTCTGCACAACCCAGACAGCGGGCTCAGGCTCCTATAGGTTCCCCTTTTTTATTTATTGGCTCAAAGTCTCATTCCCCAGACCCTAAACAATCTTATGTACAAAATATAGACTTTTCCTGTTTGTTGTTTTTTGAAATCTCATCAATAAATACAACGTGTAAAACAGGGGGGAGGGCATATAATTTACCAAAATTCATCTCAAAAGACATCATATAATTTACAAATTGATTTTTTCTAAAGGCACGGGCTCTCTGGGTCGCAGGGAGGCTGAGTTGGGGCGGGGGGGCGCGCTCCCCAAGGGGAATGTGAGACCAGTTCTCAGTCGGGGCTCCAGCCCCCAGGGCAATGGCTCAGAAAAGTGCACGCGGAGAAGGCAGAGGGTCGCCTTCGTGGATTAAGGCAGAGGGGGCGGCCGGACACCCGGGACTGGCTAGGGAGAGAGGAGGGGAGCAGAGACCAGAGGCTGGATGAAACCACGTCGGGGGAGAAGCGTGAGAGAGAGTCGTCGGTCTGACAGACAGAGTGAGGGGAGGGTGGCAGGAGACGGGGTGGGGGGCGCGTCTTCCCTGTGTAGTGCTATCATTCTCAGCTTTTTTTTTTTTTGCACGAGATTTTGGGGTGACGGCAGGGAGGGGGCCTGGAACGCGCGGCCGGTACCGCCCACTTGCGCCGGCAGCGGCAGGATGTCTCGGTTGGCGCGGCGCTGAGGACGCGGGACTGAACTGGCCGGCCACCCCGCGGGCGTCTAGGCCCACCAGCGGCAGGAGGAGCAAGTCCGCGCGAGGGCCGCCGCCACCTCCACCATCTCCGCCCTCTCCCCCAGCACCCACCGCCCGGAGGCCGGCAGGCCATCAGAGAAAGTCTGCAAAGGCCAGGGCGCCCTGCAGGCAGGCAGGGGAGGCCGGCGCCTGCAGCCCGGGGTGCTCCTCCAGCGAGGCGGCGGGGCTCAGGCTGCCCGCCTGGGAGACCGGGGAGTAGAGGGAGCCCCAGTCTCCCCGGGAGCCGCCGTCCGGGCTGCCCAGCTCCTCGCAGGGAGGCTCCAGACCGTACAGGCTGTGGTCCGCTAGGCGCAGCGTCTGCGTCAGCGCCCAGATGTAGTTGTGCGCGAAGCGCAGCGTCTCGATCTTGGTGAGCTTCGCGTCGTCGGGAAAGGTGGGCAGGACCCCGCGCAGCGCGTCCAGGGCCGAATTGAGGTTGTGCATCCGATTGCGCTCGCGGTCGTTGGCCTTCTTGCGTCGGCTCCGCCGCTGCTTGCTCAGCGCCAGCTCGCTCTTGGGCCGGCTGCGTCCCCCACGCCGCGCCCGGAGCTTCCTGGCGCCCCCTCGGCAGCCGCTCCCTTCGGCCTCGACGGGGTCCCCTGACACGCGAGTGGGGCTGGGCGGAGCGGACACGATGCAGGGCTCTTGCGCGCTCGAGGCGACCGGGAAGGGCGGCTCCGTGTCGTGGGTCACTTGGACAGCCGGCGCACCCGAGGGCTGAGGCGCCATCCTGCGGCAGGGGAAGAAGGACGGGTAAGCGTGGTCGGTCCCCAGGGGCAGTTCCCCATCCCGGGGCCACGTGTGTGTGTGTGTGTGTGTGTGTGTGTGTGTGGCGGGGGGGGGGGGCACGAGAAAGAGCCACCCGCACCTGATCAGAGAACCCGTTCCCCTTCGAATGCGCAGAGGTGCCAGGTGTTACCTTGGTCTCATGTGCAAAAGGCTGGGAGCGGCGGGCTTCGAGCGGCGGGAGCTGAGCTGGCCTTGCAAACGCCAAGTTCAGCGGAGCTGCCGAGCCGCCGCCTGGGAGTCCCCCAGCCCCAAGGAGGGAAGCGCCAGTAGCTCCGGCCTCTGCTCTCTGGGGCGCGCCTGCCCGGGCGGGTGTC